GTCGGTGCGAGGAATGCAGTGGGCTCAGTTGATCCGTGCCAGTGCAGAACAAATGAGTCTGTAGAAGGAATTAAAGCAAAATAGCTGTTGGTCTCGAAAGTCGCGCCCAGCCTTAAAGTTGCTTCCCGCAGGCGGCCCAAGCTTGCGAACTCCTTGTAGTTTTTTCAGGCAGTAGTTTTGAGCCGGGTGCTGTGGTTCCTGTTCTTTGACAGGAGATGGAATGTGTTGTGAAAAAGGAGAGGGGAGTTGTTGGTGTGGTATGAGAAGGAAGACCACAGAAAAACTGCCTGATTGCTAAGGATCGAATAAGGAAACTCGGAGGGAAGTCCCAGTTCAGCCTGAGACAGCTGGCTCAGCAGAACAGGCAGGGGCAGATCCACGATGCTGGTCCCAGCTGGACGATTCGTTGTCTCCCAGTAGGCAGTGGTTCTGCTCCACTTGCTGGATAAACCTGCCTCTTAGCCAGCATAAATATGGGAAAGGAGGTAACTCAGCTCCCTTGTGTCAAAGAAAGAAAATGGAATTGGAGTTCAGCTTTTGGGAAAAAAAAAAAAGGAAGTTATGCTCCTTGTTCTCCTTTTTATTGTAGCTTCAAAGGGGTTATATAATTATACGAAAACAAATAAAAAAGTATTCTCTGCTCCTTCTGAACTGTTTCTTCTGTGCTTAACCTTCAAAAGGAAACAAAAAGTCCAGGAAAAACAAATTCCACTCGTCACGATTTTGAAGGCACAGAACATTTGAGGTCAATAGAAGAACCTTCAAAAACCTGGTTCCCGAGATGTTTGGACAGAAACAGTTACAAAACAAACTCTTACAACAGCTCCAGGGGGAGAGCAACTCCAGCTCGGTGGGGGTGGGTGGGGGGGGCAAACTACTGAATTAAGAATGACGTACGGTGTTTGACTCCTGGCTAAAGTCACTCTAATTATCCTCTTGCTATGGATGAGGATGTGGAGGCAAGTGACCTCTTCAAGCCTACTTGGAAAAGCAGAGCTGCTGAATCGAGGTGGCAGCTGCAGCTCCAGCAACTGAATATAGTCCTTTTGGGACCCTCTTTAATATCTTGTGCGTAAGGTCTTGCTGCCTAGTGAAATTAGCCTAAGGCATGGTGGTGCTCCTACCCACGAGCTTAAGCAGTAGTGGAAAGAAGAGCGTGGAGAATTTTTCTCTTTCCCAGCATCTTTGAATAAGGCTCAGAACAACAACAACAAAAAACCCCAAAGACCAAAGAGAGTGTGGAACAGTGAAAAATGAGTGAAAACAGGGAGTGCAGGCTAATAATCCCATTAAGTAACGGCACATGATTACGGAGCGCTGTCATAAGTTGATATGGTCGCAACATACGATCGCTGCCTCGGGCTCTGAAGGCTCTGAATGAAAGCTTCTATGCACGGCCCTGACATTTTTCTCCTCTGCAGCAACGGCTGTCTTAAGTGTTTGATTAATGAACTCCTTAAACCCCAGTATTACTAGAAAAAGCATATTGACCTCCTGACTAATCACAATTAAAACGTAAATGCCACTTATTCCAGACACTGGTTAGCCCATCCAGAAGAGCATAAAACCCAGCTTTGTGTTTTGGGGGTTTGGCCCACTTCACCCACAAGATCTGGATGTTAAGAGAATGTCACAACAGTTGCAGGTGGAGGCCGATGTTCAGCATTGCCTTACAGTTACAGCAGCATTTCCCTGGTTATTAAGATTATAACCAGTCTGGAAACACAATCTTCCACTGAATCAACAGCAAGACACTCCGGCTGACTTCACCCGAGTTAGGGTTTCACCCTGCATCCTCACCAAGCACAGCAGTGAGGAAGTGTAATTAAATTCTGCGCATGTACCAAGCACAGCTCAAAGTTACGCATCCCTCAGTGGTAGTGTGGAGAGAAGAATGCAGGGAGGTTTGCTCCCGGGCTGCAATGCCCCTCGCTGCGCTATCTCCTTGGGGGTACTAACATGGGACAGGGGGGTCTGTTCTGGTCCTCTCGCTGCTGCGTTGAGTTCCTGCAAGATAAGGTGTTGGCACGCAGGCTTGCTTCTGCAAAAAGGCCACCCTTGCTTTGTTGGAAAGAACATCATCATACGATGATGGCATAGTTCAGCCATTGCCGTGTTGCTCGATAGACAGCTATAAAGCTATTTCAGTGTCCCAGCTCGTGGTTTCTGAGTGGCTGGTGTCGTCATGGCAGACCCTCTGTTTGGAAACTTGAACAAACACCTTTGGCATGTGTAACTGATGCTTTTATGTCCAGTAGGAATTGTGGCTCCCCGGATTAGGTGAGCTGAGTTAGGAGAACAGAGTTGTCTCCTATAAGCCAAAATGCAAGTTGATGTATCTGGAGGCATTTTAGCTAGCTGTATTCACCCCATTTTCCGCAGTAGGCCAAAATGTCCATGTTCTGGGCTTTCAGTAAAGGTTATAGGAAACTGTAGCACTTTGAGCTTCCAGGCAAACCACGTCAAGTTCTGAATCAGATTTGGTGTTCAAGGTCATGCAGTTGCTGCAGACTGCTGGTCGCTGTTATGGTAGGGGAAGGGTTAATAACTGCTTGTGCTGTTGTGTGGGCCACTTTAATTTGCCTCCAGTGCTGCAGAACTGAAGGAAATCTAGAGGTATCCACCACCAGCCCTGGCATGGCTAGTCTAGAGATGTGTCCTCCCTTCACCTCCCACACAGAGCTCAAGGCCCTGTGGACTCATTGGCTTTCAGCTTCCTAAAGCTCCATGCGTCTCACCAGCTCACCAGTTGTCCCCATGCTGGCTCCTTTACTGTAGAACCTCAGCAGCTGAGGCTTTTGACTGAGTAACTCCTGAAGATCTGCCTGTTCTTCCCAGCCCAGGCACATCAACCCTAGAGGGCACAGCTGTGTCTTAGACGTTGGGATGTACTACACAGCCTGGGTAGCACGAGCTTTTAGAATAGATGTATATTAATAAAGTGCAGCAATGATTTCACAAGGAAACCGCTCAGAAGATTTCCTCCTTAGCCTATGGCCACATCAGAAATGGGGAATCATCCTAGTTCCTGTGAATTTACTTTCTACTGTAAAAGCAAAGTGCTCTTCATAACCACTGGAGACAGCAAAGCTGGGCAAAGACCGCAGCACTTCACTAGAGACCACGGTACTTGCATTGCACGGAATACAGCTAAGATAGCGGAACGCTACTAACATCCCTTGTAGGCAGCGTGGGAGGGGAAACAGCACTGTACACGAACGTTGGATGCTTTTTGGACTTCATTGGCATGTTTAACAACATCAGGACTAGCCCATAGAAGTAGTCAAAAAGTACCAAATAAACAATCATCTCAGTGATTAGAGTTGGCAGAGCATTGCCATAATCAATGATGCTCAATCTCCTATTTTACTCAGTTCCTCAGTGTTCAAATGATTTTTTTTGCTTTGTTTTGTGATAGGTTGCTAGCAGGCTGAGAGGCATGAAGGTAAAAGGCCGAGAGATTGGCTGTTTGCTATTTTATCCACTGCAAAATAGAAAATCAGCAGTGCTGTAGTAAATTTTCCTCTCAAGTAGGTACGGACATTAAAGAGTTTGCACTTAGAAGCAAGATAGAAGGTTGCTTCTTTAACATCTCCAGGGCTGCCAGTCCCTCACCTTCCTGGTTGCCTACTTGCCATTCCAGTTAGGGGCAAACTGGGACTCGGTGCCTGCTTTGCGCCCATGTTTGTCACAGTCACACATCTGGGGCTCTGACTCTACCTACGGAGGTCTCCCCAGAAGGTGATGGGGGACAAAACAAAGCAACAACCGCCTTTCCTTAGCTCCAGCAGTAAAAGTTCAGGGGAGCCAAAGTGTTAGTATGTAATGGCTGTCAGAAGGTAGTAGTTGATGAGGAAAAATTCACCCTGCTGTCCCTCTCGATCACACAGCTGTTCTTGACCGCAGGGCTATCTGCAAAGTTCTCTGAACGGTACATGAACCCTGCTGAGGTAGCTTATTTTTTCCTTACCAAAGGCTGAATGAAAACACCAAATCAGTTGTGGAAACTGCTTTTTCTGGACACTTGTTCTGTTGTTCCACAGCAATGTGCTACCCTAAGATTATTTCTTCACTGACTTAGGCTGATGGTTTAAACTCCTCCGTAATAAACTCTTTAAGACACCAAAGCACAGGCTGGTACCAGGTTGGGCTGCTGCTCCCTCGGTGTCCTGCTCAAGGGATTTCCCTGGCAGCCCATCTTGGGTGCACAGCTGGCCGTCGGCAGCACAGCTGGCTGTCGGCAGCACAGCTGGTGTGAGGGCAGCAGGCTGGGACCTGGTTGTGGCAGGGAGTGCGGGGCAGCTGGAAGGAGCTGGCGGGAGCCAGCCCGTGGCCAGCCCTATCTGCCTGCCTCCTCCAGACACAGCACCTCCAAAACGACGTCCCCTGACTGCTGCTTCCCCGCTCCGTGCAGCCTGGCACTGAGACAGCATGGGGTACCCGTTGCTGGCACTGAGGGGTCACACTGATGCCCTTCAGCCCCTTTGTTCCTTGTGGGGTGGGTAAAACATGGCATAAGAGGTTGGGTGAGGCAACATGGTGGTGTCATGTATTTAGCTCTATTTTAAGCACGTGGTGCTGTCAGCATTTGTAGTCTAGTTCTTATGAAAAATAGACAGTAGTTTTCTATCTTGCCATTGCTGTAAACTGCACAGTGCTGGAAAGCAGTGCTCTGAGTAGGAGGGAAAATACAATAGTAGCTTTTGACCAGCTTTTGGTTTTGCCACCTACGAAACAAGACTTTTCTCACAGAGCGGTCCAGCTGTTTTAGCATTTCTGAAAGCTTTCATACCCTGGCAGTGTTTAAGGCAATAGGCTGTTCTGGTTTTCATTACTGAGAGAGCCAGTGGCTGTCGCAGTACCAGAGGCAGAAAGCAGCAGAGGGTTATCAGAAGAGAATCCTTCCAGTCGATGCAGAGAATAAGGCAGTTTATCAAGGCTTGGGGGCATCCCTCCTCCTGTGTCCCTCGAGCTCCATGGCAGAAACCTGCCTGCTCCAGAGCAGGCGCTCATTTCCAGACATAGAGCTCTTTGTGAAGGTGAGCACTGTAAAGCTATGCTTGTTTATGGAGAATTTTCTACTGTATTTGAGATTCATTTGATTAGCGTTGAGGAAGGTGAAAGAGCAAGCAGAACTGGTTTCATTAATGTGTGTTGTTTGGTTATAAGGTCTGCAAACCTTAAGGAACTAACCTATTAACTAAGTAAATGATACACCTGGTTTTTTATTTCTGCGCCCTTCCTTACATTTAATCTTAAGTTTTAAAACTGCGCTTTAGGAGAGCCAGGGCAGGTTTAGGTTGGACATTAGGAAAATATTCTTCACAGAAAAGGTTGTCAGGCTCTGGAACGGGCTGCCCAGGGAGGTGGTCGAGTCCCCATCCCTGGAGGTATTTAAAAGAAGGATAGATGAGGTGCTTAGGGACATGGTTTAGTGGTGGGATGGCAGGGTTAGGTTAAAGGTTGGACTCGATGATCTTAAAGGTCTTTTCCAACCAAAGTAATTCTATGATTCTATGATTCTATATGAAGGGCTTAAAAATGAGACCTCTGCTCTCTTCCAACAACCTCGCCATGAAGCGTAACTTAGCCAGTAGCACCTAAGCAAAACTTCGCCTTGTTTTATCGGAGCCTCTTCACAAACTGCAGCACAGAGCAGGGGAGAGCAGTGCCTCTGCGGTGACAGGCGTGGTGAGTTGCACCTCTGGTGCTTTACAGTAGTGCCCGGCGATTCGTTCAGCCAAAACCAAAAGACCGTCTTGACAGGGGCAGAGAGGAAGAGGGGTTACGTGACTTGGATGCAGCCACATGTAAGCCTTAAAAGCAGGAGCCCTGGGTCTATAACTGGGAGGGATTAGCCTTTAGTCCTCAGTACAGCAAAGCGCAGAGACGGGCGCGTTCAGCTGGAGCAAGGCTGCTGCCTGATTTCCCTCCTTCTCTGGGTCCCTCCCCCCCAGTTGTCTAGTTTGAAACTCTCCGTTATTTGATTTATTCTGTTTATTTCCTTAAGTGCTGTAGACGTTACATCTCAGTTTATGCTGGTAAATCTTCCTCTGCTTGTTTCCTGTGATCATAAGTGGATTTAAACTTGTTTTAGTCTTGCAGTGACTTTGGTAGATTTACGTTCACACAGACAAATGAGGTGGAGACTATTTCCTTTGGAAGGACTGCTGTGATTTCAAGTTTGTTTTCTAACTTATGGCAATATTCATGATGCATTTTAATGAACAACTACATCTCCAAGATGACAGGATTCTTCATCATATCTATGTGCATGTTTGGAGAAGGATATAAAGAAACTTTGCACGAAAATATGTATTAGTTGAGATGAGTAACATGCCATACGTACTCATAGCAGATTTGGGTTTTCTGCTTTCCTGCTGCATCTGCTATCAACATTTGCTATCATCACAGAAGTATGTATGCCTTTTTTAATTTTTTTTTTAATTGTAGGCTGGCAGTGATGGGGAAAGTATTGGAAATTGCCCGTTCTCTCAGCGTCTCTTTATGATTCTGTGGCTAAAAGGTGTCATATTTAATGTCACAACCGTGGATTTGAAAAGGTGAGATTGTAACCGGAGTTCTCATTTTCAGAACAACTTTTCCAAAATGGTGATTTTAAAGGGTGGCTCTCTTCTGATAGATTTGAAATGCATACTGTGTCTTGGCATTACGCTAACGGTCTGGATGCCTGATTTCTCTTTAGGGTTCACTAATATAAGGTGGACTAACTCCTTTGAAGCACTTGAGATTTTAATCTGTTTTGCAGTAGGTCTCTGTAACATAAGGCAGAAGTTTGGGGGGCAGGCTTTAAGCATTTCGAAGCACACTCAGACACACAGGCTAGTGAATTCTCACACCACCGGTGTGAGACAGCTGGCTAAGTTTTATTTGGTAAGAAAGACGTAGAGTAGCCTGCTATTTTAAAGGTGAAAACAGTCCGCTGCAATTAACCATAGAATTTGCAAATGTGGCTCCTGTTGTGATTCACCCCATCTCTGTCCTGCCATCAGAAAGCCTGCCGACCTGCAGAACCTCGCCCCAGGAACAAACCCCCCCTTCATGACATTTGATGGTGAAGTGAAAACTGATGTCAATAAGATCGAGGAGTTCTTGGAAGAAAAGCTTGCGCCACCCCGGTACTGTGTTCCTGGCTGCTTTTAGCCCTTCCATGGTGGTCAGTGGCCAAACCCCCTCGGTTTCGGCAGGCCAAGCCCTCAATGAGCTGCACGTCTTCTAATTGAGAGGCTCAAGGGTCGGGGGGACGGGGCTGGTCCGGCTGCCATGGTGGAGCTTTCTGGGAGGGGTAACTTTGACTGGAGCGAACGAGTGCTGAAGCCTGGCACCGTGCAGGGGATGTCCCCAGGGTGGCCCCGAGACGGTGGCTGCGCTCCTCCTCCTGCCCTCGCCGTTGCCCCGAGTTCACTGTGGTGCTGCTGCAGTCATTCCCCAGGCACGAAATCCACCCTGCTGCAGCAAGCGTCTGTGGAAACCTGCGTGCTGCTGCAGAAACCTGACCTCTTTTCCTCCACTTGTGTTTGTCTCAGGCTTCCCCCTTCACTCTATACAAATAACAATGCTTGCTGGGAGCAGGGAGTTGGAAGAAGAGGGCAGTGAAAGCCTCCCACAGGGCAGATGTGCTGGGGCGCATTTTGAGTGGCTGAGTGGGCCCATCTGAGCACGCAGCGGCGGGGTCTGGGTTTTGGACTTGTCCTTTCCCACCCCAGCAGCTCTTCCTACCTCTCCCCAAATCCTGCTGTCCCACCAGCAGCAGCCTCCTGTCCCCCACCCAGGTGCCTTCCCTTCCCTGGGCCAGCAGCACCCTCCGCAACGCTCCCTTCTCAAGCAGCCAGACCTGACTTAAACTAGGCAAGCAGCTGTTCCCCACCATTTTTCCCTTCCTGTCTGCCCCTGCTGCTCTGAGCTTGCTCACGCACGAGCAGGCCAGGCAAGGGGGCCGGGAGGAGCAGCAGCCAGTGCGAGTAAGGACTTTCCTTCTGCTCCTCCTCAAGGCAGGAGCCAGGCTCCACGCAGCCTCACCTCCAGTGCAGGAGGCCTGGGAGAGGCACTGGGCTGTCTGGGCAGTGTTTGCAAGCGATAACAGTCGTCTCCCACCTCCCTCAGGAAAGGGAAGTCATCCACATGGTTTAACTATGGTTTAAATTTGCGCTTGCTAACTTCTTTTTGTTTCTTTTAACTCCTCAGGTATCCCAAACTTGCACCGAACCACCCCGAGTCTAACTCTGCGGGAAATGACGTGTTTGCAAAATTCTCTGCATTCATAAAGAACCCAAGAAAAGATGCTAATGAAAGTATGTACTGCAGTCCTTTCGTCAGCCCTGGTAGCTACTGGGAGAAATTAGAGCTGTACAATTCTAGGACGCTATGTCGGAGATGCCCCCTTTACAGCTTAGGTTAAATAGTCATTTTCCAGAATGTAAAGGCTGTGGAAATCTGTGCCTGCTCACTCTCTTATTTGAGGATTCCCAAAGTTAGTTTTCACAGGTACCACTGTCAGCGTGGCAGCACCAACTCCAGCTCCTCCTCATTTCTTCAGCTCTCAAGCCCTTGAGACTGCACCTTCCCCACAGTTCTGCTAAAAGCACAGCCCACTTGAACTGAGACCTTACCTTCCTGCTCCATTTCTCTAAATAAAGAGGACTCTAGCCCCAGGGCACATCTCTCTACAGCAGGACCCTCACTACCACCATACATCATCCCTGTCCTCCAGCTCTCAGCCCTGTTCCCTTTCCTCTTCCCTTCTCCCCTCTCCACAGTGGCCCAGGGGCACCACCAACCCACAAAAACCCGTCCAACCCTTGCCAGCCCCTGCTGCCCCAATCCCACTCCTGTGCGCTCAGCTGAAAGCACAGGACTCATGGGCTGGTTTCCCGTGCACCCCAAAGCGGCATCCCGGTTGGCTTGCTGTCCTCGCTCCCAGCCTTGCTGTCCTCGCTCCTAGCCTTGCTGTCCTCGCTCCCAGCCTTGCTGTCCTTGCTCCCAGCCTTGCTGTCGTGCCTGTGGGCAGGCACTTGCCCCCTGGTTCCCAAGGCAAGAGTCCATGTGAAGGCAGAGCCACTCTGCCGGGCCACTCTGCCAAAGCACGCTCTGCAGAGGTGTTTGAGGAGCCATTTCTGGTCACACAGCCCCAGGCTGGTTTTTCTCAGAACCCCCTTTAGCTACTTAGAGCTCTTATCCCGGCATTAAGTTTTAAGCTTAGGATAAAGGAATTGCAGGAGTTGGCGTGGCCGGGTAGCTGTGAGCTGGGTTGGTGCCAGGAGACAGGATGCAGGAGTCGCCTTTCTGCTTGGTGTCAGAGAGACCTTGGTACAGGCTTGAATGACCTTTTTATTGTCTTAACCTAGATTTGGAAAAATCTTTGCTTAAAGCCCTGAGGAAGCTGGACAACTATTTAAATAGCCCCTTGCCTGATGAAATTGATGCTTACAGCACTGAGGAGATCACCGTTTCCAGCCGGAAATTCCTGGATGGAGATGAGCTCACCTTAGCGGATTGCAACCTCCTACCAAAGCTCCATATAATCAAGGTTTGCGTTTGCTTTTTAGCTTCCCTAAGAGGAGGGCGACACAGAAGCTCAAGTCCTTTTCTAAAAGGCAGAGGAATCCTGTCTCTGTTCTGAGGCAGGCAGTAGCCGTGCAGGGATGCTGATGAATGCTAATGCACAAGCCCGTTTCATTACAGCACAGCTAGGCAGATCCTCAAGTTGATGACTCTGGAGCTAGAATATCTGGTTTCCTATAACTCGCCAAGCCTCCCACAAGTATGAAATGAGTGCTATATTCAGTGTTGCAGAGAAGTGCTTTCATTTGCATTTCATATGCAAAGTGCCATGGACTGGTAAGGTTAAATTATTTTGTCCGTGCCAGTTCAAGAAGCCAGCAAAAGCTGAAATTTGAAGCTGTGCCTCCCACCTTTAATGCAAAACCCTCCCTTTGCTGAATACCACCACTAGCACCAATAATGCTGGCAGGGTAGCCACCACCCAGCCTTCCAGCCAAGGCTCCCAGCCTCCTCTTGCGGGGCTGCAGAGCATCCACACACTCCTAATGGTCCTGATGACCAAGATGTCTGGCTGTTGTCACAGCCTGTCCCTGGGCTACTCTGGAGCCAACCAGGCTCTGCAAGAGAAATGGCCACGCTGGAACTTCATCGGTTTTCCAACACATGAGGCCACTTCAGAAAGTTTCCTTTCTGACTACTATTTTGTCAGAGGACCAGTGGATTGAATTGGTTTCTGACACCTCCACAAGTGAAAACTTCCCCCAGAGATGCCCTGGTTGAAGCTATTCCAGAGACAGCAGCAAGGGCACGGGCCCTTTCCCATGCCCACGCAGAGCTCAGGCACGGCGAAGTGCAAGAGGCAGCAGGGTCAGCAGAGCCAGCACAGGGGAATCACCTTATGTCAGGTGAACCTCTGAAGGGTGATGGAGGGTGAACGTGACACCATCGCGCTGGCCAACGGGCAGGGATCAACTATTGGCCAGTAGTTGTTTTCCCTAGCCATCTGAAATTTAGTATTTTAATTCAAGTTTTCCCTTTCTGTTTCAGTGGAAGTATCTGAGCGTGGGCTGGTTTATTACCGCAAGGTTATTCCGTTAATTCTGATTTATGCTAGCTCCTTTGCTGTTTTAAGCTGTGTCTCTGCCAGGTGTGGTCTACTGGTCCACTTAGTTCTGCGTAGCTCCAGCAGAATATTTATGCCAAATAAATCCTTCTAAGTGAATTAGCTTGTTAGCTAGCTTTCTTTGCCCCCCATCCTCTGGGTTTTTTTGTCTTTCCTTCTCCTTTCCCCCTACATTGCATATAATGACAGACTTACATGTTGAAAATCAAAAATGCACATAAAGAGTAAATTTGTTGGGTTTTTTTTTCAGATCATGTGTGTAATGATATTTCTTTTTTTTTCATTTAATAACAGGTTGTTGCAAAAAAATACAGAAATTTTGATTTTCCACCTGAAATGACAGGGATTTCAAGATACTTGAACAATGCATATGCAAGAGATGAATTTACAAACACTTGTCCTGCCGATCAAGAAATTGAGTATGCGTATTTGGATGTTGCGAAGAGAATGAAGTAAACAGAAGATGCCTCCACTCTTTATTACTTCTGAGACTTAGATGTGCACCAGCCAAGATGGAAAAAACAAAAGCCAGCATACATTCTGCAGTGTAATTTTAAGTTCTGCTATTGGCCAATCCTCCTTTTATAATGATTGTATAGCATTATTTGCTCACTCTTAAATTATGTGTGTATATGTTTGTTTGTCTGTACAGACGTCTGCACGCATGGATGTCTGTTGTGCATTGCAAGTGAACGGCATCAGCCAATATTAAAGCGTTTGTTGAAGTTAGGGAAATCCGCGTAGGTCACACAATTCCAGCAATATTACAGACTAGTGACTTACTTACGCCGAATTGCTGAATTCTGAGAAGAAACAGCCCTCTTTCTGGCACACGTTTAACCTGTCGTTACTGCTGCCTCTCATCTCTGTTTCACAGTTGTTGCCAAACTTCACAGTCAGCGGGAGGGTTTCTGTTGGCGTCCCTGCAAGCCTCGGAGGGCTGCGGGCCAGCAGCTGGTGTCCGTGCAGCGCCCTGCTCGCCCCGGGAGGGAGGCCCGCCTGTCTGTAGGTGGGACCCCACCTGGCTTCCCCAGAAGCCCTCTCCTCTGTGCTAGAGACCTGCAGGGCAGGGCAGTGAAGAACAGCTCCTTTCTCGCATTGCGTGAGTCGTCTTTGAAATGAAAAATGGATAAATAAATCAATAATCCTGCCTTCTCCCTCTCTCGAGGCTGCATAACCTATCAAACTTGCTTCCTGGTGCTCCCAAAGAGAGGAACACAGGTCGTCACTGGCCTGTGAACTACCCGATGATAAATATTCGACAAGGGAGGAGGGAGAGACTCGGTTGGCACTGTAGGCAGAAGAAATGGGTGATGTAGATGGGTGATCCTACTGAGGTAGGATCTCTGTCGTCCTTCCATAGTTTTGGGAAGCAAAGAGGAGGAGAGGGCCTCGGAAAGAAATAGTTCTTCTACACTTCCTTTTCCTGGTTGAGCTCGAGCATATTGGCTTTTCCAGGGCAGCTGTCAGGACTTCATTGCAGCGAGCTTTACAGCTGATCACATAGGGGTCTATCAGGAAGAACGTAGACCTGCCTCAGGCAGGGGACAGATTAGATGAACCCCTCCAGCCTTGCCTGAGCCTGTCTTCAAGGCAGCCGGTACTGGTGAGGAATGCCCTTCAGCCTGGCATCAGGGCGCTTGCTGTTAAGAGATGCATGGACTATAAGAAGTGATGTCCACGGCTGCTTTCCGCTGAGCAGGCCCTCAGTGAGCACGTAGGAGTGCAACGCTTCAGGCGTAGGGTCACCTGGAATCACCTTCTGATGGATTTTGCCTGTATGTACAAAACAGACATGAAAAATGGCTCAAAATAGCCTTTGTAGCACCTCTAGCCACAAAAAAGACTGTCATAGTCATCTGTCCTTGCCCACGTCAAACGCGCGCTTGCTTTCTAACAAAGCGTTACTTAGCGGCAATAGTTGGTGCCAGATATATTGTGTCTGCGGCGTCCTCCTCTGACGCGCTGCACGGTTCAGATGCAAATGTGCTATCTTGGCAATTCTTTGCGAGCGTTGTTCAATGCAGAGGTTTAGCTTGCCTTTAGCGAGAACAGACACGGTACCTGCCCCTCCTGCCCTCGACTGTGAACTCGCACGTGGGGGTTGATAGCTGCACAGTCACTCATCGCATATTACTAACTGTTACTTTGTATTTTCAAATACATACATATATATATATAAAAATATAAAAAAATTAAATCTGTATACTCTTTTCATATGCCTTACAAATTTAAATAGAAAATATACAAATTCGTAAGTAACTTGAACAGTGTTCTGTCTTTATTTCCTTGGTAATTTCCTGGTACGATGCATTGCAACAGTGGCCTGGATATTAAGAAATAAGAGGCAAGATTTAACCCAGCTTTGGGGGCGGAATCCTTTCCTTTTCCTTTTAACCTTTCTTTTGGAGGAATCATAGATGTCGCAGACCCGCAGTGAGAACTTGGGAGTGATACATACTGGCTGTGCCTGCTACTGCTGAGTAAAAACCCAAAGGGTTTGCCAGGGTGCAAGCCTTGACTGCTGAGCCACCTAGCCCAAACTGTCCCACATCCACGCTGGTTTGGGGCTGGCCGCATCTGTAACTGCTTGCTCCTGGGGAGATCCACTTGGGACGATCCAAAGCAGCCAGGGACTGTCCATGCTGCTCGGCAGCTCTTGCAGCAATCCACATGCGTGGGCCTGCTCCTGGCCCTCTCTTACTTCTCACCATAGGTACAGTTCTGGCTGTTTATCTCCAATAAACAACTGAGAGCCTGGGCTATCGGGAGAGCAAGTAGCAATGTGCGGTTCACATCCATACGGCTCTTTCCTACCTCTGGAAACAGGGTGGACACACTGGTTGTGGAGAACAGTACCTATCTCCAAATCATGCCTGGATGCAGATGAGAGCAATGCTCTTTGGCACAGGTCAGGGTATTTGTAACAAACACAAGTCTTGAGGTTAGCGAAGCTGGATGAAAATGTGCGTGGGAAAGCACTAGAAGAAACAGGAAAACAAGTGTGAAAAAAAGGAATAAGACACTGTAGAAGTAAATTCATACTGATAGCACAAACTGAAGCCTCAAGCTAAGGTAAAGAGATGAGGAGGAACCGGAGGGGAGCCATAAAATAGAAAAATGGGAAGCAGGAATTTTGCCTTTGACTGAAAGATCCCAACAGATCCCTAGGGGGTATAAAAGGCACACCCAGAAAACAGCTTGTTGCCACTAGCCAAAGAACAGAAGAGCTGTGCCAGGACTCCACAGCCGCAGCCGAGGGCACTGGCTTGCCACCTCAGGCACAGACTGCCTGGGCGGGTGTCTGGGTGCAGATGACCCATGGGACACTGAAAGTGAGCAAAATACATGTCATTTAGAATAAATATCCCCCTTCTTTTCCCTAAGGTCCCGCACTGGCTTCCTTCCCCTGGACCCATGGTAACAGCTGCCCTGTGGCCTGGCCCTGCCTTGCTTTCCCAATCCAAACACAGCACCCATGTCTGCATCGGGAGCCGGCTGCAGCGTGGGCTCGGTGGCAGCCCATCACTGTTCATCCTTACTGACTGAAAAGGGCAGGAGACGTATCTCCCTGAAACTCCAGGCTGCCTTGTGCTACGCCCATGTTTATGGGCTGTAGACACCACAAAACTTCTTTTTGCCACTGGATCATTCATTTAACCTCCCTCACCCTGTCCTCTTTTTCTAAGGCTTCTTCAGAACCACATGCCTGGGCTTCCAGTACTGTCAGGTGAAGGGGAAAAAAAGCCTCAGACACTCAGCAAACAGGTAGGGTTTGTTTTTTTTTTCCTTAAAATCTGACAGTGCTTGGAAGGATATTTACTTAAATGCTTGTGGTCACTGATAGGTTTGAAACCTAATGTTTTATGGTTTCCTTACTCCTCTTACTCATGCAAAAGAAGTTCATGGCTCCAGCCCTCTGAGACGGATCCTTGGGCACACGCGACGCTACCTAAAAGAGTGTGTTATGGTTGGTGTTTGCGTATTTCAGGCCACACAGGGAGAAAATATGGGTAGAGATGTGATAGAAATGACCCAGCATATCAGAAAACTGAAGTCACTTCATTTGTCCTGGAAGGGGGTGAACCAAAGTGTCTGCACAACCCCACAGAAAATGGATCCATATCTACTACACGTTTTCAGCGTCTGAGTCTGGCCCTTCTTAAACCACATTATTTTAAGAAAATACCTTTGTCCATATTTGAGTTATTCTATTTTGAAAAGACCATCATAACATTTTTTTTATAAACAACTTACTAGAGAACAAATTAGGTGAGATAAAGGGAGAGAGAAAGCAAGTTGTGGTGTTAACGGTATCTCCAGCTGTCTGAGTGGCCTTGACATGCAATAAATTGTAATATCTAGACACGGATTTGTAGTACTTGATCCCATGCCAGGGCAGAGATCATGTTCCATTATTTAAAGGCATGTTTGCAGAAATAAAGCTACTGATTTCAAAATGTTCATTAGCACAAGTAGTCTTCTGTGTGGTGTTGCTTATACAAAAAATGTTTTTATTATATTATGAAAACAATTTTTACGTGTCCCTTTTAAACACCTATCATATGAAGGCAAAGATGGTCAGAGAGTTACTTCATTAATTACTCAAGCACTTGTGTAGAAAATTCTTCAAACTTTGAAGATTTCTTTCTCAGCTTCAGTATCTTAGTCTTCAGCATGACCCATCAACTTGAAGGTTAAACGCTACTTGCGCTCAACGCAGTATTTCCAAAAGCAAGCTGAAATAAAATCAAATGCAGGCTAACTAACTGTAACATATTTTCCCTAATGCATTCTTTTTTCTTTTTTTTTAAAATAGCTTCAAAGCAATGAAAAAATAAACCTCATGAAAGCAAGTACCTCATCTGTATCAATGTGCCATTTGTTTGAGGATAAGCAAATATCTACATTTCACAAGCTTCTTACAACTGGTTGAAGCTTAGGTTTTTTCTAGCTTATTAGAAAGGTTATTTCTAAGCTGTCAAGCAGTTATCAACTGCTAAAGTGAGCCATGACCCTGAAAGTTGAAGTCAACAGAAACTATCAGCCTTGATCAGGTTAGCAAACTTCTCTCTTAACCAGCCACCCAGATGCTCCCCCCTGAACCCTTAAAAGCTACTTAAAGGCTCACAGTGGGTCTGTGGACACTCACCGTGACCTTACTGACCACGCACAGGAGCTGCTGCCCTACAAACTGAGTTTCCTGGTCAGAGATCCTGAACACCGTGCAGGGCTGGGAGAACAGAGTGGTTTGCCACACAGTTCACTGCTACCTTCTCCCGTCAGCAGTCTTAGTTGGTGCCGTACCCCCCAACTACTCTTAGCTGTCTCACATGACAAAGACCCAAAGGCAGGCCCTGCTCATGAGCGATGGGGTAAAGCACGCTGGTTGCTAACATGTGGCTCAGAGCAGCATTCGGTTTTCCTTCTCCAGCAAACTGCAAAGAAGTGAAGGA